AGAATCTTACCAATGGGATTTACATGACCCCAGTAAGTTTCTGCCTGTGGATGCTCGTTAGGATCCCCGTACACTTCCGACGTGCTCGCAATTAACACTCGTGCACCGACTCGTTTTGCGAGTCCTGAAATGCCATATTAACAGATTATATATAATATTATTTCGGATGTCTCCGTTTTCAAATTCGACACGTCTGCACAGTCAACAACTCACCCAACATGTTTATAGTGCCCAACGTGTTCGTCTTGATCGTCTTCACGGGATTCAGCATGTAGTGCGGCGGACTGGCCGGACTAGCGAGATGATAGATCTCGTCGACCTCCAGGTACAATGGCCTCACGATATCGTGATGCACCAGCTCGAAATTCTCGTGACCGACCCAGTGCTCCACGTTACGCTTTCTACCGGTGAAGAAATTGTCGACGACTATCACCTCGTGTCCGGCGAGCATCAGACGGTCCACCAGATGAGAGCCGACAAAACCCGCGCCCCCCGTCACCAGTATTCGCTTCCGATTTTTATAATTCAGAAACTTCACCGTTGGAAAGTCCTTCGCCACTCCGTTCTTAATCGCCGCCTCCAGATGCTGGAGCTTACCCTCCAGCTCGCGAATCCGAACCTTCGCCTCCTCGATGTCCCTGATATCTCCGTCAGACGGCTCGTTCTCGGCATCGCGAACTTTTTGTGTCGCGGCCACGATGAGATCATTCTTGTCATCTAAGCTAGCTTTATTCCCGAGTACGGAGCGATGCCGACCGCGATTAAAGGATCGCTCCTCTTCCGTAGTCACCAGAGTTTTATAAAAGCCCAAGACTGTTACAAGCGTAAAAAAAACGATATTATGATACGTGAAATTATATACAAATGCATTCCTTTAATATTTCTATGACATTAATGACTAATTACATTTGCAACAATAATAATAAACAAAATTTAATGGTACGTGATATAGATATATATCAGACATTCTTTAATTATAAATAAAACTAAAGTAAAAGTATCTTATATATAAAGATTAGTTTTAAAAAAAATATGAATGTATACACACTAAAAATATAAACAAAATATTTGTATTATTTTGGTTATAACATATTTATTTATCGATTATTTTATTTTATAATACTATTTTATAATACTAAAACATTGTTTTTTCAAAATTACATAAATTTATACAGGCATCATAATATTTCAGCAAACTTTTCAGACAGAATTAAATTTTTTATTCTCTGTAATATTCAATTTTTTCATCTAATGATAGCTCATTTAAAATTAAATAAGACCAAACGTAACGGCAGCAACTAATGTTTAAAAGATTTGCTTTCGATTACAACCACGTCTTGTTTTTCGTCTTTCACAACGGCCAAATGTTATATAAACTGAATGCTGCGCATATGTTTTCGCGTTTCAAAGCTTCTCAATAATTCCTAAATTAAAATGTTATAATATTTATAATTGTTTAAAACAAAATAATAATAATAATAATAAAATTGTAGAACTATGCAATTTATATTACATTTAGAACTTGAAATAATCGAGATAATACTTGTCAGCGTCGAAGCGAAAAATACGAAGCATTCCATGTTCTTCGTAATTAAGATTTTGATTATCGAAAGTTACGTAGATTATATTTCTCGATAATGTAGTGATTGCGATATACTCCACTATTGGTTAATGATGACGTAATTCGAGTCGTAAAAGGAGGAATAATTTGTGATATTTTAATTCATGCAGAAATGAGGAAATAAACTAAAAAAATAATGCGATAATATTCAATAATTCGCTTTATTTAACATCATCCTTGCCCAAAATTTTTCAGTGAAAAGACTTTCGATCGCATGTTCCGTTTTCCGGAGCTAAGGTTGAATTTTAACGAGTTCTAGGCACATGCACGAAAAGATAAGCGCCTATTAAAACACCTCGTTATTTTTACAACATACAGTATTTATAGCAATGTGATTTCTGGTACTTTGTACGATAGCGAAGCATTAATAGAACCGTATAGTTAACGTTACGTAATGTGCGAGTAAAAATCAGAAAAAAAAACCAGCTACATCGAGCGACGCTTAAAAGAATAAATTATTGGGAATGTCAACGCGCGGGAAAGAGAATCGGAGAATTAAAAAAAATTGCCCGATGTCTTGAATTTGCGAGATCAGAGATGGCGAACGAATTTATCGCTTGGACAAATCAAATGTTGCTCGCGATGCACGGAAGTTAGACCGATCAAGATAGCCGTCATAGACAGCACATTCGAATTTCGAGATTTGCCCGACGGTGTGAAGGCATCCTCGTTCGCAGCCTCGATAACCTAACCTATCCGGGGGACTCACCTAGCAGCGCGCAAACCGCGAAGACCGCGAGCTGCTTCATCTTACGTTGCGTGACAACCATACTTTAAATTCGCACATGACTCGCTCCGTGTCACGCTTACGTCACTCCCGTCGCGACTCAACGACGGACGACGGTCATACTCGCGTTGTTCCGCGCGGTTGCGGGGTCGAGTAGCCAGTTTGGCAGCTACTAATTCAAAATACAAGCAAAACCGGAAAACATAACCTCCACGGCACAGAGACCGTGCATTCGCCGATCGTTCCACGATGCACCTACACGCGACACGCGAAACACTTGTGATTATTGACGACGCGGCGGGCATTCGCGATCGGACGGGCATACCGATGTCGTCATCTATACTTGATGTTAGGAAACTTAGGTGAAAATTCCTAACTCGTCGGTATTAAAACCGATGTCGCTCAAAGAAAATCATTATTAAAGTTACTAAATTTATAAGGTACCACAATATCGTATAAATAAATCGTATAAATAATTCCTCGCAAAGTACACATAAGTGTACAGCGTAACAAGTAAAAAGTTTAGACGAAAACATATTATATGCAATATTTTAATGAAAATTGAAATAAAATGTTCAAACTAAACATATACGTTAAAATTTATTTTTTCTTTCCGTGATCAGGTTGCATATATTAATGTGTAGTTTCATCTTTCGAACTGTAATTCACATGTACCTTCATACACTTTTATGGAACCTTCACAAATAAACTTAACGAATAATTTGTATTAGTGCACCGACGATATTAAACTAAAGAATATAACTTAAGCATTCGTAGTATATTTCTTTGTTCGTAAATAAAGTGATCATAAATAAAAAAATTGATTTATATAATTTATTTTCTCTTACGAAATGTATTTACAAATACGTAAGTTTGAAGTAACGGCATTTTGGAATCAAAATGGTGAAGAGTTTGCAATATTTTATCAATCTAGTGACTTTGATCATTATTGTTCAAATTCCAAAGAAATGTTAGATTTAAACTTTAATTCACATAAAAAAAAATAGGAAAAATAAATATTGAATTACAAACATTTTCTGCTATAATTTAAATTATGTAAGAAAATAATTTGTAAAAAGGACATATGAATCAAGCTGGATGTCCGTACTAATTATATATATATATTTATATATATTTTATAACAAAAATATTATTCAGAAACAATAGTATATTAAAAATAAACGTTTCAATCTGTATCAGATCATCTTTAATGTTATAAAAATGATAAATTAAAAACATATTAAATACAACAATAAGAACATATAATAATAAGATATCACAAATTGTTAAATCGTCAAAAAGATAAGTAAAAGATAAGTAAAGTATACTTATTTATTTCGAAATTTTCTCTTTTTCTTTTGAATACATTCAAAATTGTTTCATAAATTTCATAAAACATTCTTATTATAATCTTGATATAATCTGATAAAAAAATCATAACAAAAAGATGGTGTTTAATAATAAAAATAATACTTAATAAATTAATGAAAAAATCAAATTAAAATAAAAAGAAATAAATAATGTATATTAAAAACATAAATTGCTAGAGAATAATTCCTCGAAACATGTATTCGAGAGTGTTCTAGTTTTATCATCCTTTGCATATGTATTCTGCGATAAAAAAAGAATAGAAAACTGTCAAAGAACAGAGAAACTAAGGAAATTTTAGAACACACGTACATACCATTCGCAGATAATCTAACCTCAAAATTGGCGCATCCAACTGGCGCGCACGCAGGCGCAGAGCCCGTTCTTCGATTGATATATAAGGCTACGGTAGTACAAAGGAAACATCTCGGGTGGTTTTTTTTGCAGTCACGGTGACAGTGGCATTCGAAATATGGCAGACATCATTGATTGTAACTTTCCTGTCTGGGGCCTGCTGCCTAAAAAAGAAACGGGTGTCACTCAGTTTCTCACCAAGTATCCTGAGTACGATGGACGGGGCGTTGTCATCGCGATCCTTGACTCGGGGGTGGATCCTGGAGCCCCAGGTCTGCAAGTGAGTACGAGTCCGAGCATTGGATTTATTTGTCGACACGCCTTCCACAAGCTGTTAATTCTTTTGGAAGGACCGCCCTTTCCCTTGAAATGCGAGCGCGAAATTTTGGAGTAGATGTGTCCCGAAGCGATAAGCCGTCCCTAGCATCCTTCCCTTTAATCATATGTGATGTCTTGTGCTTGCCAACTGTGCTCATTGAAAGATAAAAGTCGTGCTATTTCTTTACTCTTTCCTGATATAACAATTTTCTTGGGTTGTCATTATGAAATAGTTCTATCGAGTATCAGCAAGCCGCTGTTACATGAGTTTCATCATGTTAATGACATTTTATATATCAATTTCTAACAAGAGACACAAGCTGATACAAGTTTAGTTGTATTATTTATTGAACTTGCTATTTACTAAATAAAACAAAGATAAATGAAGGAATGCATCTATTATTTATTACTGATCTTGTCAATGATTTAAAATTTATATTATCATGTAAATAAGACTGAAAATATTAAAAACTATGTAATAAAAAGAGTATATGAGCCAAGCTCGATGCTTAGTGTATATTTTAACGTATAGTTCAGAAACATATATTAAAAACAGACTTTAATTCTATGATAATTTGTCTATTGGTCTATTGGGTAATTTAACATCATAAGAGACACACACATCTGTTTTTTAAAAAAAAGAACTACTATATTTATCATGCTAAAAATGTTCTGTATTAGAAGTTAGGAACTCATTAGTCTCAGATAACTAACAAGGGACAACTTCTAATAATAGTTCATAATATTCTCCATGTCAATTTAATGTATATTAAAACAGTTATATGAGAGATTTTTCAAACTTCACTGCGAATCAAAAAACTAGGCATACTTTTTTTTAAGAAAAAAATTTCTTTTGTTTCATATACATGTAAATGCTTAATTAATTGTTATTAGTTATTAGTTATTTTATTGTTTTATTTTTTTAATAATTTAAAAATTTGTAACATTATCTTAAATTTGTTTATTACCGATGATTGACATTTATTATCGATATATTTGACTTTTCAATTTACGGTTTTTTGTTTATAATACTGAAGATAATTTGATACAGAAACTTTATATCATTGATAACAGAAATTTTATATCATTGTTCAATCCGTTTACATATTGTTTATTTTTATCTATGTGTTTCCAAACTGTTTAAAATATATATTCAGCACAAATATCCAGCTTGACTCATATCATATGTTCTTTTCACCATATCGTTTTTAAAATTTATATTTATTTTGTGTTACGTGATAATCCTTGTGAATACATATAATATAGACTTACTATAAATAATACTAATACTTGTTTAAAAATTATCAAATTATATTATCTCTATAAGTCTCTATTTTTTTTTATATGTACTGTATTCAGCAGTTTTTATCCAATTTATATTCTTACATTAATGAGAAAACTTTCTTATATAACTTTAATAAGCTTTCATAAACAGAATTGTCATTATTACATA